AATATGTAAGTTACATTTTAACCAAACCCAAAGATGCAACATTATTGGTTGATGTGGGTTAGCAAAGTTTGCACAAAATATTGGGTTAGTATTTGAACCACCCTATATATATATATATATATATATATATATATATATGACCGATCAAATGCAAACCATCCAATTTGTACAAACAGTGCAAATCATCATCATCTGTCGATTTCATTGTTTAATCTTATGAAATTTTTTCATAAAATTGTTTAATTTGTGAAATTGTTTCATATAATATATTTTTTGATAAAGTTGTTTCATATAATACTTAATGAAATTTTAATGAAATTGTTTCATGTATTTTCTTTGAAATTAAAATAATGAAGACAATAATATCAATGATTAACACCCTCCACAATAAAAATGATTAATCAACCTCTCACAATTACAAAAAAAATGAACAAAATGAAAAATTATAATTGGTTGAATGATGTTTGTACGGTGTGTACAAATCACGTGGTTTGCAAAGTAAACCTCATCTCTCTCTCTCTCTCTCTCTCTCTCTCTATATATATATATATAGAGAGAGAGAGATGTGAGTTATTATACAACTTTTTACATTTGTACAACTAATACAACTCAATCTCAACCGTCCATTTAATTTGATAAATACGTGATTTCATAAAAGTTTTGATTATTTCATAATATAAAGTATTGATCATAATTAATGAACTCTACTCATCTTTCATAAATATTCAAATTATAATAAATGAACTCTCATAATTTCCATAAATATCTCAATTGATTGAGTTACATTGGTTGTACAAATGGACATGGTTGCATTTGAAATATACCCCCCCCACACACACACACACACATATATATATATATATATATATATATATATAATTTCTAGATAAGTAATTTTTATCTACATGGTTACATTTGACATATATCATTTTTTTAAACAATTTAAAAGATTGTAAGTATTTAAGTATACTTTGGATGAGTAGTGCTTGATCATTTATCTTATAGTTTTAATTATACCCATTTAACTCGTCATGAGTACAATATGACCTAAACTTACATATTTCACATAAAAGTGTTTGGGCCTGTTTGTTTTTTAAAATTTTCACTTAATTGCCTCTTAACTCTTAATCGGTCAGACATAAGTGATTTCAGACTGTTTGTTTTTTTTTTTTAAATTAAGAGTTTTTTTTACCTCTTATCGTCCTTTTAAAATTAAGTGGGAATCCTATGTCTGAAATCAATTTCAGAGTTGCATCCCATCTCCATCTCCATCTCCATCTCGCTCTCAACTCTCGATTTCTCCATCTCCATCTTGCTCTTCCATCACCATCTCGCTCTCAGCTCTCGATTTCAAGGTCTCGCTCTTAGCTCTCGATGTCAACAGCTCACGATTTTTTGTCTGCCTCTCCGTCCAAGCTCTCGATCTCTCGAATGCTCTCGATGTCAACAGCTCACGATTGTTCGTGTTTATATTGATTCAAATTTCATACGTAAAAACAAATAGTCTGACTGATTCAGATTTCAGACTTCAGACGTAAAAACAAACAGTCTGATTGATTCAGATTTCAGAACCACCTCTTAAAATTCAGAAGTGAATTCAGACTTCAGACTTCAGCACCTCTTAAAAAACAAACGTCACATTTGAAATCGACACGTTTAATATATACCCTTAAAGTCACGTTATTTGCGGCTTACGACACTTAATCTAGCCTAACTTGAAACATCGATCAAGACAACTCAAACCAAAAACCATTTATTGGAAAAGACGTCATCTAGTACTTAAAGAGCTTGATATTAAGCTTCCTTGTGGCAAATTAGAGTCAAAACCGCAAACAAAATTGCATATATGGTTTGATTTTTTATGACGTGGTTTGTATTTAACACTTAATTAAATTTTACATCAAAATACTTATAATCATAACATTTTCATATTTCATAGTCCATGCAACGAAAGAAAATGGAAATTGGCAATACATGTAATATATATTTAAGTCCAAAAAAGTAATTTTGTAAATCTATACTATATTATAAAGCATTTGACAAAAACTCTTAAAAACCATTTTTCTATGTATGAAGTACTGTTTATTGATGCATATTACTTATAATTCAAGATTACAAGTAAATTGTGCGTAAGTATAACTTATTAAAACTCCATATTTGAATTTGTGTAACTAACTGCAGATAAACATAATCAAATATATGATAACCATCTCATTTTAAATGTAAAAAATCTAAAATATAATTAAAATAATTATTGAGTTCTAACAAAATATTTAATGATTATCTTTATAAAAAATTATGTTATTAAACCTAAATTAAATTATTTCGTTACTAAATCTAAATCTAAATAAAATAAAATAATTTGAATTAAAGAAATTACCCCAAAAACAAGAACTTTTAAATAGTTAATTTGATACTAATATCGATATATCCCTTTTCAAATTTTTATGTTATTTTTTCAAATTTATATTTTATTTAAAAATAAAAACATTTTTTTTTTTAAAACCACATAAAAACATATTATATCAACATAAAAACACAGAAAAATCGAGATATGTCTCGATGCATCGTACGAGTACCCTTCTAATAATTTTATAATCATAACACTTCTCATAGGATAAATTATGGGTGGTCTGGTATGACAGGAAGACTACTGGTTCAAGGGTATGATAAAAATCATAGGCTTATGAAAATATTTATCGAGGTAAGAAAAAAAATTCAACAATAGATAAAAACATTCGGTATCTATTTTATGTCTTAAATTATTTAATTATCATAAACACTTTTCACAAATCATGTTGTAATCATAAGTTATTGTTTAAGTTTCAAAACACTTTTTGTAAATCATTTATTGTTGGTAACCAGTATTGTAAATCATTTAGAAATCGTAAATATATTATATAATAAATAAAAATTGATATATATTGCGGTGCATATAGAGCCCTGGTTAATAATTTAAAACTGCAAACTGTAACGCACTTTAAATGAAATATAAATCATACTGTAAAAAATCAAAACCAAATAGCTGCAATGGTAACAATTTATGCGGTTTTATAAACATGCTACCTATTGTTGCAGAACAACATATTATTTTATCAACGTATTCGATAGTCATATGGTGGTTGTGCTTGCAATGTGCCATTACAAAACTATATATGGTTCAAAACTCTTGCAATTCAATGTTATTCTAAATATATTCGAGTGATGTATACATACACACATATATATTGATACCACCGCTAGACAAAGAGGTTTTATCAATGATTACTAGTGGATTATCATCGATGAAACCCTTTATTTAGTATTGTACAATTAACATCATAGCATTCTTCTGTTTCTTAGTTGAACACAATTTCCTTTTTAATTAGTAATGCACGCATTTAGCCGATTTTCGCGTCATGTTCATCGTTCAATCGTTGGTACAAGATCAGTGCCGAGTCGGGTCACGTCAATGTAGTCTTTAGGGCCGTGAGCTGCTAATCCTGGAATTATCAATCCAAACATTCTAAGCAATTTTTCGATTGTTTCTTCCTTGTACTCTTTACCCTTCCAGTATGGCAAAATGAAACTCCTGATAACCTCCCAAATTGCATTAAGATACTTGGGTATAACCCACAGCAGGGAGAAGTAGTTCTTGTTTGGTTCTTCCTTCATAACCTGATCAATTTACATTCAAAGATCGCCCGTATGAACATAACACACAATGCGTACGTATGATCAAAGCATATTCTTGCTTATGTTTAACACAAAATCAGCTTATAAGACGTTGAAGATGTCTAATTATGTCATAACAGTCTGTTTTATAAGATTTATGTTTATATGAATGACCATCAATTGTGCGGCCTATATAAAGATGTTACAATAGCTTTATAGGACACATTTTCCAAATAATGTTACAAAAGAAGTGTCCAATATATGATGATATCTTTTTAGAACACACTTTTTCAAATAATGTCATACATAAAAGACTAAAAAGACGTTTTATTTCAAATTATCTTAAAAATTTATTGTAAAACCAGTACTTCAAGAATTAAGACACCCAAAAGGTGTTGTGTACTACCAACTTATTCTAACACCTATATATAGGATGCACAAAAGATCTCAAGTCATATAAGTAGTTTATACGGACATTTAGACATATTTGACGTCCTATAAAACTGATTTTGTTGTACTGACATATATATACATTATAACAACCAATTAAGGCCATCAAGTTCTTAACTTGAGGTGTTAATATCTTAGAGCTAGGTTGTGGGTTCAAGTACCCTTTCCTTTTTGATCGTTGGATCGTTTGATTTGGTAAATATAGAAACTAACAACGACTGATTTGGTTCATATATAAACTAACAACGACTGTTATACATACCTTGCCGCCATAGAAGCTGTTGAAGTATAGAGTTGCCCCGAAATGCTTAAAGAATAAAGCTTTATCATCATTAGGCAACCTAGGCACCAAATCATTGCAATAAACATACCTAAAATAGTTCACATTATAATCTTCAATCATATTCATCATATGCCTCCCAAAACTCTCATCCCCAACTCTTGGCTGCCCAAAAGTGTAAACCCCTTCTAACCTTTTCAACAACCATTTCTCTTCATGTAACCCGAGCACAGCTACGAACAAGATCGCTAACGCCCCACCTAAACTATGGCCAGTGACTATAAACTTCGCATTTGGATTCTTTTCCAGAATCTCTCTTAGCTTTTCTCGAATCTTGTAGTAGGCAAAAGGGTGGTGGTCGTTTGGATCTTGAGGTGGTTCGAGTTCTTTTGGCCAACCTTTGATCTTTTGTAAGCCAAGTGCTTTCATGAACCCACCATGCACTCGACCAATGCAATCATCCGAGTCGTTGGTGTGTTTGAGCTGATACCATGATATGTCTAGGTCTGTTATCCAGTCATTGGCGTCGAATGGGCTGGTTCCTCTTAATGCTACAACTATCAGATTGGGGTCTGATGCATCTTGAAACATGCTTGCATGTGTTGTGAATTGATTTTGATAATCTTTAAAACATAATCAAAAATTTGGTTTAGAAGTTAATAGATTCAAAGGTTTAATGGTAATCAGATCATTGACCGAAAGTAGTCATTTTTTTTTTATAGGTTTAGAGAAAAAAAAAAACATAGATAGATTAAAGAATGTTTTACAAACTAGTTTATAAGGTAATGGTTGGTTGTTAAGATGAGAGAAAAAAATAAACACTTCTGATAAAAACCGATAAGTTATATTACAATGTAAAACAACATTCTGGTACACTACTAGAATGCAAGGTATCAACGACGAACATCAGCGAGGGACAAATCAACGAGGGATCAACAAGGGATACATATGTCTACTGAAAATAATGAGAAAAAGGCAATAGAGCTTGTGAAAATGCTACCTATATATTATTTTTCCAAAAAATTAGCTTATTACTTACCAAACGAGTTTTTTTAATAATCTCCAAAATTAAGTTGGTTTATGGCTATTATATTTTAACCGGATTTTTCTTAAAATACAAAAAATTATCTATTGTCACTTTTATGATGGAAGTTGAAGACTCAATAGGTTTTTTTGGGTGACATTGGATTTTGATGTACATCGACTGATCTTCCAAAAGACCACAAATGGTCTGGAGTCGTCGTAGGTGAACATCCATGGCGACAATGGCTATGGCAACAATGGCTTTGACAAAGTCTGGATTTGATTCTGTGGGTTTAGTGACCAAATAAACAGGTTTTATAGCATAATTTCATACATAAGCTAAAAAAATCGAGAAAATGCATTAGTTGATCTTAATTTTTTGAGAATTAGGCAATAGGGAACAAATAAGGTATGATCTTAATCTTCCTAACATATTTATTGATCACGGGTTACGTACCGTTCCAAAATTTGTAGAAGCCAATAAATACCATCTGAAAAAAAATAATAAACCCCAAAAATAGACGATGGTTATTACATAAAATTGTTAAATTAATCACCAAATAAGACACATAAAATTGTTATATTTCCATCATAAAGATAAATGTTCATAAAATACAAAATGTTTGATGTATTCACCTATATAAAAAAAAATACTACAAATCTATCTAGTTAGTTTTTCATTAAGTTCTATATGATAGAACTGTCTGTATAGATTGAAAATATTTGTTTTGAAGAGTTTTTTCATAGATGGAAGGAACGGTTTTTATTTAGGAGGATAAATTTGAAAAAAAAAACTTGCTTTTCTACATAAATTTTTTCCTAAATGCTTATTGAATAAGTAACATTCTATATATACACACAAACACAAACACAAACACACACACACACACACCTATATATAATACACACCCACATACATACATACATACATATATATATATATATATATATATATATATAGAGAGAGAGTGTGTGTGTGTGTTAAGTTCACGTGGGACAAAACTGTTTTCGTGGGACACGATCTTTACACTTGAAACTTCACAACGAAGTGTTGTGAAGGGAAAAAAGCGAATTTTCACAGCAAAAACACTATGAAGTTTCAAGTGTAAAAATTGTGTCTCACGAAAACAACCTTGTCTCACATGATCCCAAATCTATAAATAAATAAATATACATATATCATTAAGCTGCCACTAACAAACACTCATGTATAGCTATCAATAAAATATCCAATATGTTATGAGTCCCATTAAGCTCATTAAATAGCTAATAAACAAGCACTAACTAAATAATTTCTGTTAATTATGAAAATTAATTAAATTATAAGAAATACTAAGAAATTAATACCATTTCCCTCTAAATACATAATAAATTAAAAATAAACAAATATATATATATATATATAGAGAGAGAGAGAGAGAGAGAGAGAGAGAGAGAGAGAGAGGGGGGAGGGGGTGAGTTATTATGTAATAATTTATTTTTATACAACTCAATCTCAACTGTACACTTAATTTGATGAATATATGAATTCATAAAAGTTTAGATTGTTTTATAATATAAAATATTAATCGTAATGTGATGGGTTTCATTTTGAAAACGTTATATATAGCACAAGGTTGTAAAAGAAATATACCCTATATATATGTATGTATATATATATGTATGTATGTATATATATATATATATATATATATGTATGTATATGTAGAGAGATAAGTTAGGTGACCTTCAAGTGATCTTGAACTGCAGCTTTCACAAAAGCCTCATTTTCGTAAGAGAATTTTGCAGCCATCATAGATACCGACGGATTATATCTTCCGTCGCCTTTTCTAATACTTGCATCCAGTTTCAACCGCCTGTCCAGTTCTCCGGCCACCGACATAAACTTTTCCGACGATTCCTCCGGCTTCACCACCTTACCTGCAATCTTACCAAAACCCTAATCAAAACCATTAATTACCACAATCGTTCCTACGCCTTTTGACGCCATTAAAGCTCATACAAACTCAAAAAAAAAAAAAAAAAAAAAAAAAAATTCACAATAACCTCGTAAGCGATTGATCATAAGCCCGAAAAGACCTCCATTGCTCGATAAAAGATTCAGCCACATCTCAATCAAAGATCCCGTCAAAGCCAGCGGCTTTTTCGTCCAAATAAGAAGCTTCTGCAGAACCACGGAGGAGAAGATGAGCCTTCGCCGGCGGAGATTCACGGTGGTTGACTTCTCCACATCTTCATATCGTTCGTCGTAAAACCTCTTCTTCTTCAAACTATCAGTTGAACATATCAAAATAGAAGCAATATCGTAGAGACTTGCTTCTTTGGCGTCAACCACCAAGTAATCTTTACAGAATTCTTCAGCACCTGCTGCCATGGCTTTGAAGCTAAGAAATCACGCAAATGGAAGCTGATGAGAGGAGGGTGCACACAACACACATACACACCATTTAAATCAATTGACTTCTATTATAAGATACGAGTCAATAAGCTTGGCAATGGCATGTGGATTAATTAATAGGGTTTAATTAAACCTACATTAATAAATACTTATTTAATTAATAATTCTGATTAAATAATTTTATTCTTGATCCACACAATCAACTTAATAAATTAACAATATTCTAATTCTTTAAGATATACAATTATTTTTAAAAAATTACCAAAAACGTTTATCGATTAATCAAAATAGTTAAGATTTGTGGCCATCAAATAAAGCATCGTATGCAACAACGTTACATCGTAGTGCTTACCAAAAAGAGTCGTCATCTTTAATTATTGAGTAAGATTCTCGATCCTTGTCATATTAATCCAGTGAATATATACCTGTCGTTAAACGGCCCGGCTTGATGGAAAAAAGTATTAATTAATTTGACTCTTTATAATAATAAATGGTTGTTTGTCAGTTGTTGAATAGTGTGCTGCAGAATGATTAAGTGGCCAGAATGATTAAGAGACTCTCATGATTTAGTACAAAATGAAGTATAATTGTTTACAACGAAATTATGACACTTAATGGTTAAGAAAGACCCATGATACAAAATCATTCAGAGGGTTTTATCTTTCAATTATTGAACTTATTAATTTTGTTTGGTTATAAAAGTTGTTTGTATACAACATTTGGTTGTTTTTTTGCTTGTTTGAGATTCCTTTGTAAAAAGCATGCAAGAAAAAAATTGCATCATGGTACACAAAAATCTTAGGCAACAATTAAACAATATAAATGTTGCCTAAAAGAACTATTATATTATGTTATTTACAATTCAAAGGCAACATATTTAAATAGAGTATGTTGTCTAAGTTGATATCTTAGGCAACATATTCAGATAGAGTATGTTGTCTAATCTGATATCTAAGGCACGCAACATATGTTTTTTTACTTAGGCAACATAACCTTTTGTGTATTGCCTAAGAAGCCCGCTTAGGCAACATATTCTGTTTGCGTATGTTGCCTTGGTTCTTATGCAACATTGAGAAGGCAACACATGTTTGTTGCCTAAGCCTTACGCAACATATAAACTCCTCTTAGGCAACATTTTTCATTTGTTGCCTAAGTGATATTTTGAGGTAGTGTTAAGAGACAGACTTTTTTTTGACAAACAAGATTCACCTCCTAACAATTCAGAGGTTGTCTCTTAATGGAACTATTAAGAGGTAAACAAACAACCCATAAATTAATATTTTGTCAATTATCCTTCAGGAGAAAGTCTAAATCAGATAAGCTTGTTATAACTGGTAAAGGTTGATCAAGTAAACACACATCCAATTTCGCTAAGGTTTCTAATTTAATCGATTGCTACAAAATGTAGTTACAAAAATAAGCATCACTTTTCGAAGTTTATATAATTTAATCCCTAAGGCTTAATTTTTTTTATCTATTAAATTGATTGTCAGCTTCATTTTGATCTTCCGAAATTGGGTTTATCAACGTCTAAAATGTTTAAATATCGTAATAGAATGGTTTATAGGAATTAAGTTCATAGGAACAAATAAGAATATGTCGTATTTAAAGGCGTTCCAACGGATTTATAGAATTTTTTGAGCATTTCATCAAGTTTTTAGAACATTTAAAAAAATAAAATGACGTATGAACTATTTTATAAGAGACTATTTGAAAAAGTAAATCCATCTGTTTTATACAGTGTCTTATAAAAAGATAGGTTTATAGAAAACTTCTCAAATGTATTATATAAAATAGTTAATACAATACTTTATTATAAAAATCTCCTAAAAACCACAAGGGTTGTGCCTGATTGGTTTGAGTTTGGCTTCAAAGGTCAAAAGTATCAGGAGGTCCCAGATTCAAATCCAATGAGAAATAAAAATCGCCTTGTGGCCACGGAGGTTCAAATGCGGTGACTCCGGGATATCTGCAAAGCAGATGGTCGTCCTGAGATTAGTCGGCTCGTATAACGAGTTGGATATCCAGGTTAATAAAAAAAATCTCCTAAATACTTGTTACAACGTCCAAATTAAAACATTCTATAAATATATTGTAATACTTTTAGATAAAGTTTTTAATATTATTTAGTCATATAAACTTAAACTCGATAAAACATTCTATTATTAGAACGACGCTTAAACATTTTAGATGTCTTACAAACTCAATTTTACTATCGTACCTTTTTCTGTCTTTATATCAAATTGTTTACCTTGGGGCTATTTGGTTGGTTTTTCATTTAAATATTGTATGAATAAAGTTGTCTGTGTGAATTAATTTGTTTGTATAGCTTGAAAAGTCTTTGTTTGGGAGAGTTTTATATATATATATATATATATATATATATATATATATATATATATATATATATATATATATATGAAAGAAGTGCATTTTTTAATTGGGAGAGATATGTTTGAAAAAACTTGACTTTCTACACAAAGTGTTCCCCGGAAGCTTACTTAAAAAGTAACTTTTTATATCATTAAACCACTGTATCAAACAATCATCTATAGCTGTATAATAAGCTATAAATCCCATTAATCTCATTAAACTACTAATAAACAAACTCTTATCTGTGTATCAATCACTTAGTTTTAAAACATTATTTTATGAGTTAATTACAAATTTTATTCATGTGGTTTCTTGGTTTTATAAAGAAGGTCCCAAACCCTAAAAACACATGGCTAAGGGGCCGTTTACCAAATGTTTACTTGGGTAAGTGAGCATCAAGTCACATTATCTTATCGAATGAATATGGTATGAATCAAAAATCTTACCCGGTAAGAGCGAGACAAGTACGAAGAGTCTTACCCGGTAAGTGAGGGCGACGACTCTTACCATGGTAAACGCTTACCGGGTAAATTGTTGTATACAATATCTTTTTGGTGGATTAAAATCTTACCCGGTAAGTAAATTATAGTATTAAATTTTACCGATAAACTCTTACCGAGTAAGTGTTTGGTAAACGTCCCCTAAATTACTCGTGGTACGAATTTCTCCCTGTACCTAAAAAAGTCTTTATTTCACGCTGGAGCATTTATGTTCTTATTTTCATAATGAATTAAGTCCCTAACCTAACTATTGTTATAAAGCTTTAATCTATTAAGGGGTATTCTTTTTTTTTCAATTTTTTTTTTCATATTACGCTTTTTTTAATACTTTTTTATCGCACAAATTTACCACATACACCAAATCAACACCAAATTCGAACCCTAATTACCAAAACTCACCGCCAAATCAACTAAAATTCAAACTCTAACCATCAAAACTCAACCCACAGCCACCCCCTCTTATCCGTTCAGATGATTTTCCATTATACATACCAGTTTCTTTCCCCAGCTTTATCATAAACAGAAATGAAGCTTCGTCACAAGTTTCACAGGTTCTCAAGAAGAAGATCACCTATACGGGTGAATATCTGATGTGGAAGTCATTTTTGTCTGTACCTATCATTTCACTATTGCTTATTTTGTACTTTTTGTTAATATAATTGTTGTTTCAATTCACATTATTTGTTTTAATCTGATATAGCAATTTTCCTAGCCACCAAAAATAAAATAAAAACTAATGTGTTTTCAAATTTCTTTTTAAAGTTAAAGAAGTAACGTACGAATGAAAAACACAACGTTTGTTGGTAATTTCTATTTTAAAATATGTAATTAATTATAATAATAATAATTTCTTAAAATATTAAATATAATAATTTTCAGAAAAAAACAAAAACAAAAGCGTAAAAGATTCCCGTTTCTAGAAGTAGGAACTTTGTGATCACAAACAATTGCCATGTAAATAGATTTCGTTGTAAACTATGTCTCTCTTTGATGGAACCATTTTTAGAATTACGTTGACAAATTTAATATTAGGGTACGTTTGCTAAACACTTACCGGGTAAATGTTTATCAATTATCACTTATCTTACCGATTAAGCATGAAAATAACCGAGAGTTTTACTCAGGTATGCTTTGGAAGAAGCGGTCTGTTACCGAGCCGTCTTATTAGGAACTAGTTGTGTACTCGCGCAATGCAACGAGATGCCAAATTTTCTGATAAGCTTACAACTAAAAATGAGTGTAACTATTCATTAAAAAGTACAAAATTCACCTTGGGGGATGGGGATGAGTTATTAAAAGTTCCCCCATTCATCTTCCGTTCAATTGTTCTAGAACTCTCGGTCTCGCTCTCTTAATTCTTTGCTCTTGGTGTAAATCGAATACATTTGTGGAGTCGTTTAAATATGTTGGATTTTAAATATATTGGATATTAAATTGTCATACAATTTTTTTTTTCCATCGATAGACTGTAATTGAAACCATAACTCTTTATTTATTCAAATTGTATTAATATGTAAAAACCAAATGTAACTTATATCATCGTTAAATCTTCTCTAATAAAACCAGTGAAACTTCAAAATTATTAAAATTCACGGCTTCTACCGCATTGCACGGTTACACATGTTCAAATTCAACCAACCTCAAGGTTACAACCATTACAATCAAGGGTATTTGGGTCTTTTTCCGAACTTCGTATTTTTAGGAATAATTAACTTCCTTAAAAATCTCATATAATATCAAATAAATCAGATTTATCTTAAAAGTTATAAATTCCTTAAATATCATATAAACCATGATTTGAATCTTCTAGTTTTTTTGTTATATTGTTATTATATGAATTTTCCATAATCATCTTCAACACTTTCATAATCGTCTTCTACATCTCCTTATTTCAAATTTGAAGCATCTTCTTCATCTTCATCACTTTTTCATATATGAAAAAAGTGACAGAAGATTTTGAAACCATATATGGAAAAATTCATCACTTTTTCTATCTGAAACCATATACAAAAACGATTCATATATGAAAGTTTTATATACAAAAAATGATCCATATACAAAAATTCATTATTTTTTCATACATGAAACTAGAGGTGTAAATGA